GGATCGCCATTGTGTCACGGTGTACTGCACCGGCCCTTTGCTCCTAGTTGCCTGAAGGGGGGGGGGTGATTCATACAGATCCACGGTATCGGAGTGCCTGTAGTGCCGGATTTGTGCTGTAGTGCCGTATTTTGCGGAGTGCCTGTAGTGCCGTATTTTGCGTTATTTTCGCCAGAGCTACCTTGCGATCGAATGGCCCCCTAAGCAACGAGGAACAAGAGGGGATGCAATACGCCGTGAGATCTGGTCGTTGGGGATCATGCCGTCGTATTTGGCATATACTCCTTCGTAGCGTATTTTGCTTATGTCAAAACGATTGCTACAATAAGATAATGAATCAATTAAATACTAAGGTCTCCAGCAGTATAGATTCGTCTGCCGGCCTTCGAGTGTTGATTCGGATACTCTTAGCTGCAACTCATACTCTTCGACACTGGTGGTGACCAGTTGTGACCAGTGGTCAGTGGTGTGAGTAATCAATGTTTAGGGACAAAGGAAACAGAAGCTGAACAATCGCGATCGTAAGATGCAGTTGTGCCCACTGGTCATTGTTGACAGATAAAAAATATGTGCAGATGCAGATGAGCAAGATCGTAATTCCTCTGCCAAGTTGTAAGTCATAACTAAGCGTGCAGCTAAAAACGTAAATCCTGCTTCATCAACGCAGCTAATAGATACTAGTGACCAGTGGTCAACGACCAGGTAAATTGTTGCCATCGCGATGACAGAAGGCAGCCACCTGGACGGGTCGTTGCTGAAAGAAAGGAGCGAATGTAAGAGCTGTAAATGCTAAGCTAGGCTAAGTACTGTGAAGTTCTGTCGGATTCGGTTTTAGTTTTTTCGATCATGGTGCCTATGGACGGCGCTGATGAGTGGTCAGCGACAAAGTAAATGATCGCCAATTATCGGATAGAAATAATACCTAAATAACGAGATTCATTAACGCGTAAAATCGCCTGTCGCATTTAGCATAAAAATTAATCGTACAACTACTGGCATACTTGTCCGGTAACCGGCGGCTCTGATGACCATTAGTGACCACTGGTCAACATCGGCATTCTGGCTGATCAAGTGAGTGACAAAGTATTAATTCTGTTGGTAAGAAAGTCGTAGATGAGAGAGATTCACAAGGGTGTAAAGATATCTGTCGCATCCAGTATAAAACTTAAGCGCACAACTAGTTGTAAATGCGGCTTCACGGACCACTAGTGACCACTGGCAAGCGCTCGAAGTGACCAGTGGTCAATGGGGAAATAATTTTCACCGTGGCGACGATGACAAAGCGTAGGCAGTCGTAACGGCGACCGATCGATCGCCAGGTCTTTTGCCGATCGTTGGCCGAACGGACGGACGGACCGCGACGGTCGGTCTGTTGGTCGGTCGGTGGATAGTCATGGCGGTGGCCTGAAAAACTCCAACTTATTCACCGTACGACGTGTCAGATACAAAAATACTTATCTTCGCCAAGTGAAATAGCGACCGAGTGGCTTTTGACAAAATCGATTATTCCTGCTGTCGATGTTGTTTCGGATTCGTGCGGCGTCGAACAACGACGAATGTCGCCGTTGACGTGTGACAGCATGACAACGTGCTTGTCTGTTCGATGGCGATGGTCGGAAATGGTCACTAACCGAGTGACCAGTGACCACTGTCCGACGAGTGACCGAGGTCGAAGGCGACGGACGAGGGAGGTGCTGCCAGGTAATCCGGATTTGACTCAATCTGTGCCTCCGGCTCCTCCTTGCGCCGCGCGCATGCCGACGGTCGCCGCCTCCTCCGCTGGTAAGCGCTAACATGATAACTGATATCCATGGTAACGGTAGGCCATCGTGTCAGCGCCGTTTGGTGCGCTTTCCGTTTGAGGAAGATTAAAAATGTACGAATGATTGATTCCGCGATTTGTCGACGAAGATGCGGACGTCGAAGACGAGCAGCAATCGAAGTGAGGTAGCAGCAGATGAAAGGACGACAGAAGGAAAGACCGAGACTGTTCATTGTTCGTTCGTCCGTCGTCGACCGTTGGCCCACGCTGTCGGACATGAGGTAAGTGACGGACGGACAGACGGACGGACGAACGTAGGGACGGAGGCCGCCGCCGCTGGATTGATTAATTACGTGTCCGCAGGTAAACAACGACGACAGGCGCTGACCACCATCGTATAGCTGGCGGCAGTGGTCATCTGCTGTCCACTTTCTGTTTGTCGCCGTTCCTCATGTACATGGTTTTTCATTCGCTATCAAAGCATGGATCACAGAAATCGTAAAGCCACCGGGAGTTGCCAGCCGATGCCGTTCGTTTTTTCCCTTTGTTCCGCTGTCCACTGTAAATGCACGCACAGATGGACACGGATGACGACTCTCGTTCGTCCGTGGTTACTATCAGTGATGGTCGCCACCGTCACATCGGTCGCGTTTGGAATTTGTCACAGCGTTTGAACGTTTGGTGAACGGACGGTCTTCACTGGCCGTTTGTGTCAACACCGTTTCGTCTTCCCCTCATCTCCGCTCCCTCCCCGTCCCCCCCCCATCCGAGGTTCGTTTTCCGGAAATCCGCAGTAGTCGTGTCAGCTGCACGCTTTCCATAACTGGCGTCGCGATGACTTCATAGATCATAGTTATCCATTTTCCGTGATCATCATCGTTGAGCGGCGTGCTTCAAGAATTAGCCTTCCTTCTTGTTCTTCCCACTTTCTGTTTTTGAAATGTTTTGTGTGAACAAGAAGAAAATTGACTCCGTCGAAGGAAGTGAGCCTTTGACCAGCACGTGCCTCAGATCAAAAACTAAAAGAATCAGCTCCCTCAGCATGTACACACTAGTAGTTCGTTAAGGAAAAAAATGTCACCGGTCAGCGACGATCGATAAATAAGAGTCGGTGTAAAAATGGGGTTGGTAACCCAGATGGTACGTTAATCCTTGAAATATGCTCTTGATCGATCATTGCCGTCGATTCTGTTGCGGTCATCTTGGTTCGTCACCATCTGCTGACCGTTTGTCCGTCATCAGTACAACGCATTACGATGGTTGAATATACTGATTTCTCTTTCCGCAAAATAATCTTGCTGAGGGTTCATTTCTTTCGGTGGTTGAGGACCACAAACGATTAGTTCTTTTTGTCAGAGAGCCACCGTCGCGCAATTCTCTGTCAGATTCCATTTATGCAGAAATGCCAATTTGAGTTGCTTTGTAGCTTGCTTGTCTTGAGTGTATGATCAGAAACATTAAGAGGCTGTAACTGAAGGAGGTACCTCATTTGGCGATTTTTATATACTTGTCACCGTTGGAATGTCCGTCTTCCCTCACGTTCATCGTTGGGCTATTTTGGCGCCTTTCGTTTCGTGAAGTTGAGGGTGAGCTGCTGATCTCCGTTTCTATGCCAGGAGTTTCTCCTCATTTTCTTAGAGGCAGAGTCTGCAGGCACGTGGTCCTCTGATTTCTTTCCACACATTGGTACTCATTTACGTACATCGGAAAGAAGAAAAGCAAATGATCCCGACCGAAACTTGAACTCGGGATCTCTCGGTTCTGAGTTAGACGCTCTACTGTCTGAAAGTCTCGATACGAAGCAAAGAAATTCGTGAAGAAGACAAAGATTGCTATGCCAACTTGCTGTTTTATATGCTTCAAATGCTTTGACTCACGTGACAGCTGACTATTCAATGTGATAATTAGCAGAACGTGTAACACTTGTTTTTGTTTGGTAGAAAGTCCTCTGTCGAAAATGCCTATGCATATTTATGATTTGCCCATAATATCGGGGATTCTTTGTTGCTGCTCTACTCAGTCGTGACAAACTCATTTAACTCGTTAAAATGAGGTTATATATTTATTTATCGAATGAAAAGTCCAGCCATTGTGCGGCATGACCACAAAGCGTGTTTAGGGCTGCCAACCCTCCTTCCATTCTTGTTTTAAAATAAGGTCAATAACAATTCTAGGCAAAATCGTGTAATCGGTGTAATCGAAGAGGATAGGATCTGCTGACTGATTTGTTTTCAAATTAATTGCAGTATTAACTGAATAATTTTGACTTTGAACAATACATATGTATACGGTAGAGGCATTTTTGCGTAATGCTTTGGATAGGTTGTTATTTGATCCAAGACAGTGATGCTGGCTTGCCTGCATGCACGCAGGTTGGTATAATAACACAGAGCCAGGGCCCAAACTTACCGTTCTGTTATTTCTCTAGAAGCAACGACACAGTGCGATTATGCCGATTATGCCATATGAGTTAGAAGAAATGACTCGTTTTCTGCTATTTTAACTTTGTTCTATG